AGAACAAAGGCTCGAAATGCAGAACCCAGAAAAGACCCACAGGAATTTACTCAGCTGATGTTTGACAATGGTGTTAGAGCACAGTGCTTTCAGGGAGAGCAGCATGGACAGTCACACAGGGGCAGAGCTGGATACGAACCCAGACTGTGTCGTGAACTCACCCGGAGCAGCTGGAAATGGATGACAGCCCCAAAGTCAAGGAAACACTATACAACTGTTAGAAACAGAGGGGATCTCCAACCCTAAAGCGAGGCAGCATCCTTCAGTTGCACCCCAAAGCCCAGGATGGAGATTCGCCCACCGGAGCCACCAGCCAAAGTCATTTCTCTATGGACACTGGCTTGGGGAGGAAGAAAGCCAAATCCAGGTTGAGGGAAAGCATTGGCAAACCTCAGCTTGAATGTGCAGAGCTCTCAGTGGAAACGCGTAACAACTGCCAGGGAGGCGACACCACTGACACTGCCAGACAGGAGGCAGAGCGGCAGAGCGCACAAGGTGAGGTCCTGTAGGCTGCAGGCCGAGGCCCCGCCCAGAGTCCTCCTTCTCATGCCCCGGGGGAAGTGACCACTTTCTGAGGGGCTGCTCCACACCTGCCCAGGGTCCGGTGTGTAAGGTTTCACACGTGGTGGTTTCTACATACACCGTGGAGGCAAATTTTCAATGAAGTAAAGGAAAATAAGGCTTTTGCCAGCGGGACGGGGAGGAAGAGTTGAAGGGAGCAGGGAGGGAGAAGAGGCGAGGGGACGAAAGAGAAGAAAGAATGTGTCCAGGGCCACGTGCCGGGTCCCAGGATGGAAGCAGTCACCGCACTGCAAGGGATTAAAACAGGGGGAGGGGGCCCTGGTGTGGAGAGCGCTGCGGCCCTCCTGGACGGGCTTCGGCAGCTCCCAAATGTCCCTAAGTATTAAAACGGCCTCACTGTAGATTCAGTGACCTCTGTGCAGTTATGCACTTCCCTAACCCACTGTTCAATCTTGACTTACTCTTACTAATAGTTCAGGTTTTATTAAAAATCACACATTTTGATATTAACTTTTATTTTAACACTTGCTTCTATCCTATTGGGATATATATTTATGAATACATTACTTTGTAGACACAGAAGAATTAAAAAATTCCACAAATACAGCCAAAACACGCTTAGAAGAGGTGACTTTTTTCCTAAAACCAAACCAAATAAATGTTTAGAAGCTTGTAAGATTCTTGAGACATTTTACATTGAAGACTAAAATCAATAAAAACAAGAGTGTAATATGTCTGCACACTATAAGATACAACACAAAAGGGAAAGATGTGTTGCTATTATTACTACTAATAATTTATACTTTTCATGCTATTTATATAAAATCTATGTCAGTAATCTACTCACTCCTCAAGGCAAAGGCCACCATTTATTCTTTCTTTTCCCCCTCTGAGCTCTACCATAATATTTGGTATTCAATAAAACTTCTCGGAAGAATCAAGCAAAGATGGTTTCAGGCAAAAAGCAGGGAAAGGAAAACTAGAAGGACAACGCCCGAGCCCAGAGCAGTGCAGTCTCCCTGGATGGGTCCCGCCCTGTCCCTGGGATCCAGGATTGAGTCTGAGGAGAACGACAAAGGAAAGAGGTGGTTCGGCTCACTGGATCCGCAGTTCTAAGGCTCTGAGCTCTACTCACAGCTTCTCATAGGAAGCGAAGAAGCTTTACCTAGAGAGCTGGGATGCAGCTGTCTCCCCGTCTTGCTACCTAACTTTAAGGGCTCCAAAGCACTGGCTTCAGTGCTGGGCTCTTGGGGCGACAGCAGAGAAATACAGACAGAGCAGGGCTTCCCTCCAGGAATCTTCTAATTAAAGACAATCGTGCCTTATGGCCTTGGACCAGAATCAAACAACGGTGACCCCCATTGTCCAGGGTGGGGCAGGAGAACTGGGGTTCCCACAGGTGGCCCCACAGCCACAGGAGGAAGAAGGTCCTACTCTGCTCCCCACCATGGGCAGAGGCGCCCTAAGCAGGCCTGCCTGTGGTAACATCCTCTATGGAGCTTCCCTGTGGGACTGTCCCCGCGCAGTGCTGGGCACAGCAGCCTGTCCCCCATGCCACCCTAGGACTTCCTGGATGCATGCACCCTCCCATCCCGCCAGCCAGCAACTGCCAAGGCCAGGTGGCCCAAGGTAGAGCCTAACTGCAGGTTAGTTCCAGGAAACTGGCAGGGTATATTCTTGGAAAGCACACAATAGAGATTTTTTAACTATGCTCTTTAATCTTCCTGAGTCTGTACAAATAACATCAACCTTCTCTTGGGAGGAGCGGGACCCTGAAGGAACCCCTGCATGTTTACACATTATGTGTGTGTGTGTGTGTGTGTGTGTGTGTGCAACAAAAGTTGAGAAAGGTAAAAGCCATTAACAGAAATTTTAAAAACCACACAAAACAAAAATTGTAGATTTTAGGATGAACTACCGCATTTTTACTCTATCTCCCTTTGCAAATGTCTTTTAAATAAACCAAGATCAGACAGAATCCCACAGGACCCTGTGCAGGGAGTGGACACACTGTGGGTGAGAGGCAGTGCACAGTGAAGATGTTTCCTGCGCATTTGAAATGTGCCAGGTGGTCCGGACTGTGCCGCCTGCCGTCCACCTCTGACGGTGCGTGTGGTGCCTGGTTAGGTTAGAAGCTCCGTGCTGGGAATAACAAAGACCCTCAGTTGCCCGTGGGTTGTCTGAACTGGAGCCTCTGCTGCTCTTCCTCCTCTAATCTGGGAGTGACACAGGATGGAAGAAAGCAGCCTTCGGTCTGATTCCGCGGCCATTAGCTTTTCCTTTATAGATGGCAGCTACAGAGAGGAGCTCATAACATTCGTGTTGCTGTAGTGACAGCTGGCCATTGCCGCCCCAACCACGCAGCATTAGGAATGAGCGCAACGAGAAGCCCTTAATAGCACCTGAAGGGAGTTAAGGGCGTCACCTCGCTGCGTTTATGTTTTAAATTTTGCATTTATTTTAAAATTTCTCTCATTAGTTTTCACTGCATCCTTTTTTAAATTAGATGTTATGGTCATAATAATGTCTGCGAACATACCAGTTACCTTTATTAGCTCTCCAGGGACTTTGCACTCATTATTTCATTTTTCTCCTTAATGTGGGCAGGAAATGTCTGTTATAAGTATTTTATAGCCCTGGAAACAGGGATGGAGAGGTAAAATGACTTCCCTCAGGGTCGCAGGGACAATAAACAGCAGAGCTGCTGCCAGCAACTCTGGCCCTGAGCACGACCCTTTCTATCACTGCTCCTGGACAGTGGATTCTGCCCTGACCAAGGATGGCAGTGTGTGTGGCAGCCCGGGGAAGCTGGCCAACAGCGCTGCCTCCCCACCTAGGACTCTGCACCTTTAAAGCTAAAGAGATGCAAGTTTCATTTAGTAATTTGGCAAAATACGAACAATGAATGCTATCGTCATAATTAGGCGGGCACTGGGGGAAACAGGGACCTTGCACGGCGCAGTGTTGGAAGAGTACAATTTATGCAACACTTTAGGTATACACAGACAAAACCATGCCTCTGAGGACACCTCTTCCCCACCTTGGCTGGAAACTTTCTTGAAGGGAAATGAATTAAACCACAGCAAAGTGTGCATGCAAAATCCTGCACTGCATAGCTGGTTATGAAACCAGACAGGAGTGTGGGTCAGGGTGCAAAGCCATGAGCCCCTGAGACTCAGTCAAGTACGTGACCCAGGTAAGGATACCAAGGGCAGTGACCTGGGGTGGACACCTCTCCAGAATGCAACTGGCTGAGACTGCAGAGCACCCTATAACCTAGCCAGGCTGAGCACGTCCTGCAGGGATGAGGGTGTTGCTAATCAGTGAAGCACAGGGCAACCATGAGCACCAGGGAAGGCGGTATGGGGGGACTTCAAAGCCAGGGTGGCAGTAACTCAGCTGTGACATTACCAGCACGGTGAGTGGAACTATTACAAGCCAAAGCCAGTAACATGATTTTAATCACTGCAGTTCATCACAATGCCCTGGACAGAGGAGATAGAAACTGACACTTTGGTGTAAAGATGCTCCAAGTACAGTGAGTGGAAGATGGATGTCCAGGCATGGCCTAGTGCAGTCCTCTCACTTCTAAAAGCACAGACAGCCTCACCAACCACAATGCCTCTTCAGAGTGCGAGTGGTCTTGTAAGCAATCCATAAATAAAGGGGCTGTGTGAGCACAATGGGGCTTTCTCTAGCACAGTACATTAATGTTCTCAAGGGCAAACTTTCCATAGCTAAAGAGACATATTCAGCAACATATAAGAGGAATAAGAAAGGAAATCCTGCAGAATGTTTGCTGTGGATGAGCTCAGATTCTGGCATCCTCCCTGTCTCAAGAGCTACTGCACGATGCCCTCTGGTGAAGAAGACACGGGACAGCTTCCTCTTTGATATAAAACATTGGTTGATGAGGACCCTCAAGTTTTATTCCAGTTTTGCTAAAACTGGTCTGATAAAAACAGACCAAGCTCTCCACAAGTTTCCATGCCAAGCAGCAGTGGGCATGAAGCCAGGGGTCAGAGCAGGTGCATCTGCAGGTGTGAGGGGTTATACCCTGGTGATGGCTTGGGCTGGGCTTCCAGGCCCCGGGCTCGGGAGATGCACTGTGAGTTTCCAGCACCACCTCCCACGGTCTCTGCTCTTTCACCATCCAGCTTTACAGAGCGGTGTTTCTGGAAAACACCCTACTTCCCACAGCACAGGATGGGATGAAACTGGAGGAAAGTGGAATGAGGCAGGAGCTGAGCCGAGAATTGGCCATTTCTACTGTTTATCTTCTGTGAGTTCTATTTATTAAAATTTGGGCTGTAAACAAATTTTTAATGTTTTGAGAAAACAACTGATGCTGATAAAACCCAATCTTAAATAGGTTCTCATTGCACAGATTGGAAGCCACTAGGGTAGCCGGCCACAGCATTTGTTTAGCATCTGGGGCAGGACCTCGTGGTGACTGAGAACAAGAACAGCAAACTTACACATACAGGACGGATCTGGTGTCCCCCACTTTCCCAGCGTCCCCCACGGTGAGCGTGTCGTATCCTCTTTCCAACTCGAACTCTTCAAACGCGAGCTTGATGACCTGAACGGAAAGCACAGCAGTCACCAGTAGCCCAGGAGCTCCCGTGATGGTTAGTGTGCAAACACCCACAGTGGTGAACCTTCCATCCTGATCCCAGTGGAGTCCAGGGCCGGGAAGCTTCGTTAACTGACCACACAGACAGGCACACGCACGTTAGAGGATTTACTTAATAGGACTCTGAGGGCTTCAGAGTTTGTATTCTTTTAAATTATTTTGTTGTCCCATCTAAAATGAAATACTCTGGTACAAAAAAATGAAATTAAACTGCCTATACTTTAAGTTAAATAGCTATCAATTTTATTTACAATAAATTGTTAGGATTAACTAAAAATGTAACCTAATAAAAGCAAATGAAGGGGTAATTATTGTTAAGCAGTTATAATTTGAGATATCCCAGATCACCCCATAATAAATACTTTTAAAATTCTATGTGCAGATGTCATGTAATTATCCTGATTAATACACAAAAAGACTTTCTGAGGGTGTAAAGTTGTTCCTACGCTTAGTTTTACAAAGCCTTAAACTAGCTTACTTACATTCCATTCTTCTCTTCTCTTTCTCTGTCTCTGTCTCTGTCTCTGTCTCTGTCTGTCTCTGTCTGTCTCTCTCTCTCTCTCTCTCTCTCTCTCTCTCTCTCTCT